GTGAACCAACCTTGCATTCCTGGAATAAACTTAACTTGGTCATACAATTTACCTTTTTCTACAATGCTGGATTTGTTTACTAACATTTTGTTTAGGAATTGTATAATAATGTATGATATAGGGATTAATCTAGAATTTAGTCTTCATTTAAATTCTTTTCAGTTTTGCTGTTGCATTAATCTGGGTTCTCCAGAGAAGTAGAACTGATCTCTCTCTCTCTCTCTTTCTGTAGAAAAATCAAGGCGGGGGGGGCTATTATAAAGAATTGGTCATAACCAACCAGCCTGGGAAGTTCCATGGTCAGCAGTCAGCAAGCTAGATAGCCAGAGAACTGATGGTATTGTTCCAATCTGAGTCCAAAGGCCTGAGAACCAAGAGAACAAAACCTGAGTGCAAATCCCAAGACAGGAGGAGACCAAAGTCCCAGCTTGAAGACAGGCAGAGTGAATTCTCCCTTACTCTGCCTTTTTGTTCCATTCAGACTCCAGTAGATTGGATGAGGCCTACCCACATTAGGGAGGATAATCTACTTTACCAATTCAAATGTAAATATCATTCAAAAATACCTTCACAGATACACCCAGAAAAACGTTTAACCAAATATCTGGGCACCTGACAGCCTAGCCAAGTTGACACATAAAATTAACCATCATGGATACTAAAATTATGCTGAGTTCATGCAAGTTGATTATTCTTTTTCTGTTCTCTGGGAAAAAGTCTAAAATTAGTGTTATTTCTTCCTTAGTTTGTAAGCTCCACCAGTAAGCTCTCTGGGTCTGGAGCTTTCACTGTAAAAAGTTGTATCAGTCAGGACTTAACCAGATGCAGAACCACTAGAACATACATAAAGGTTTATTGAAGACTCGATCTTACACAGCTGTAGCAGAGGATAAAACAATCACTCTGAGGTGGTTGTCTTCAGGCCTGATGCTGGAAATGAAGTCTGCAGAGTAGGCTAGGGGGAAAGGAAGATGATGAAAAGTGAGGAAGAGCAAAAACAAGAAGGTAGTCACAGGAATGAGCAGGAATCCATGGAGTAGATTGGAGCTTATGTCAGTTTTTCTTGCCCTTAGCCTTGATGGGGTGGCTCAGGAGTTGTTTTTTATTTCTTTCTTTGCTTTGGGTTTGGGGGAGCTGTGTGTTTAATTGGGAACTCTACTCTTTTAATAGGCTTCCTATTTCTTCTTGTGTCAGTTGTGGTAAGTTATGTTTCTGAGGCAAATTAATTGTTAGGAGATTGCTCACAGTTTCTTTTGTTTTCTTTTGATGCTTGTAAGACCTGCAGTTATCTTTTTCATGCCTGATGTTGATCATTTTTACCTTCTCACTTTCCTTCTCTTTTGATCAATCCTACAAGAATTTTCTATTTTATTAGTTTACTGATTTATGGTTTTGATTTTTGTCTTCTGTAATTATTTTCTTTTTTGTTAATTTCTTCTCTTTATTTCTTTTATTCAATTCTCTTTTGATTTTCTGTGCCCTATTGAAGTTCCTTAGGAACTTCCTTTTCCTTAGGAAACTGATTTTCTTGCCCTTTTTCCATGCAGTTAAGGCTAAATATTTCCCTCAAAACACAAAACTGTATCACACGACTTTTAATATGCCATATTTTTATTATCATTTATCTTAAAATATTTTCTCATTTCCATTATGATCTTGTCTTTGACCCATGGATTGATTAGAAGTTTATAATTCTATTTCTGATATTTAAGAAACTTTCATTATCTTTGAGGGGGGTAAGTGGTACTAAATTCAGGGCCTTGTACCTCTGAGGAAGGTGCTCTAGTTTCAGCCATACCCTAGCCCTCTCCCTCCTTTTTTTTGCTTTAGTTATTTTTTCAGATAGGGATTGTCATTTTTGCCCTGGGCCTGTCTTGGACCATGAGCCTCCTCTCTGTGCCTACTGTGTAGCTGAGATCAGACATGTGTACCACCACGCCTGGTTTATTGGTTCAGATGAGGTCTCGCTAACTTCTTACTGGGGCCGGCCTCAAATCTCCAACCTTCTGATTTCCCAAGTAAAGTAGCTGGGATTATAGGTGTGAGCCACCATTATAATAAATACTTGGTTCATTATCTTTTTGTTATTTATGTGTAGCTTAGTTTCATTGTCTCCAGAAAATATACTCTGTATTAATTCAGAATTTTGAAATTTGTGAAGTCCTGTTTTTTGACTTAGCATATGGTCAGCTTGGATAAATGTTACATGTCCACTTGAAAAGTGTATTTTGAAGTTACCTGGGGCATTGTTCTGCATATGTCACTGAAGTTTAATTTCGTCCGAATTTTCTGCCTGTTCTCTCATTTACTGAGGGGCATGGACTTCAGTGTCTCATTTGAGGAAGCCATTTAAGATGGAAGGTGAGGTCCATTTAAGATGGAAGGTGAGGTCCCGAGGTGAGGCCCCAAAAGTCATCTGATGAGTAAACAAGAGACTAAGAAAAAGAGATAATTAACCAGATTTGTGTTAAAAATTTAAGAGAGATGTGGAAAACCAGAGAAAATAAGACAGAGATTGCTAAACTACAAGCAGAGAAGACAAAACATTTGTAAAATTAAGGGCACATTAATTATTCCACTTGAGGATGCTTTGAGTTTCAACAACGGAAGCCCTTCTCTGTCTTTCCTTCAGTAAAATATGCTACCCACCAAAACGCTTCAAGTGTTTTGTTTTACTTTGTTTGGAGGAAGTCAAGGAGAGATCTGAATTCTGTTGCTTGCTATCTGTGTAGCTCTGCCTCCCCAGAGCTTTGGCATCTGCTAAATGCCAGGCACTGACTAAATACATTAAATGCACTCTCTTCTTGTGTTACCTTGCATAGGAACAGAATTCAGGTGTCATAAGTTGAACAGTGAGACCAGATATGAACTGAAATATGACTGGAAGATCAGGGAGAAAGGGGACCACAAGAATATCACTCTTGCTCCCTTCACCTCCCACGATTAACAGAAGTCTTGGGGAGGACACTGTTTTCCAGAGGGAGTGGAATGGGAATTCTCTCTTATCCAGTGTTGAAAGGTAGAGAGGTCCCAGTTGGTATCTGGGTTTTATAACCTTGCAGTATTGTCAAGATAATGTTGCTAAAGTACCTCTCTCAACAGAAGATAAAAAATCAGTAGATACTTACTATTCAAGTTGTCTTTGCAGCTGTCCATCTCCCACATGGTGTTTACAGCAGTATCTTTTCCCATTAAGTAACTCCTCCCACTACCACCCTGTGCTCAGCACTGTACAATGGCTATAGCAGGCACTGAATAACTATGTTTGCTGTTGCCAGATTCTCAAAGTTTCTCAAACATGAATAGATTTAAAGGTAGTTTACTTACCTATTGATACTTAACAAATGACCCTAGGACCTAGTGATTTAAAATAACAAACAGTATCTGTTAAGATGTGGGTGTCTAAACTACATGGTTGGGGCTCAGGGTCTCCCATGAAGTTTCAGTCATGGTGTCAGCTGGGGCTTCACAGTTTGACTAAAGCTAGACATTCAGTTGCTGGTCATCTTTCCACAGGGCTGCTCACAACTTGCAGCTGGCTTCTCTGGGATGGTAAGACTAAGACAGAAACCCCAATATCTGTTAGGCTTGGAGTCTCATACCATCTCTTTCACTTTTTTTAGGGGGGAGGGGTGGGTAACAGAGTTTGAATTCACAGCCTCATGCTTGCTAGGCAAGCACTTTATTACTCGAGTCATGCCTCTAATCCTTTTTGTTTTTAATTTTTCATATAGGGTCTACCAGTTTTGCCCAGGCCAGCAAAACTGACCTTAATCTTCCTGCCTATGCTTCCTTCATAGCTAGTATTACAAATCACCAGCATGCCTGGATTATTTGTTGAGATGGAGTCTTGTGGACTTTTTTGCCTAGTCTAGACTCCAACTGATCCTCCCAAATAGCTGGGATTATAAGCATGCTCTCTTTCACTTTTCTTTAGAAGTGAGCCTAGTTCACATTTAAAGAGAAGTGTATTAGGCTCCACCTTTTGACGGAAGTGCCAAATTATTTGTAGACACATTTTTAAAACCACCACAGGATGTGGTGTTTTGCATCTGGTGGTTGATAGATTTTTGTTAAGGATATTCAAGGACGCCCCTCAGATGGTGACGTAAAACCTTTGGAAATTCTCTTTTAATGTTTATCTCTACATCCCAACAAGTCCAGAGTCCTTTGCAGTTTTAAGACCATATGTGAAAGGTGGTGGCATGACTCAAGCAGTAGAGTGCCTGCCTATCAAGCACAACACCCTGAGTTCAAACTCCAGTGCCTCAAAAAAAGAAAAAAAATTGAGATCTAAGATCATATGTGTCTTTATGACCACCGTTCAAGTCCTGATTGCCTGTGGATATAGTGCTAGTGGGCTGTCCTCCCCATGACCTTCCTGTGTGGTTCTAAGGAAGAAAGTTCATTCTGTGGATCTCCACCATGTATTAAGGTGTGCTCCCTGGTGACTTACTGGAGGCACCACTCAGTGCCATGTACAACCATGGAGTGACACAAGCATGGGAGAAAGGACAGCTGAGTCTATCACAGCTCAGAGAAGGGTGGGAACAGGGCAGTGGCTGCTGAGTTAGTAAGAGATACAGACGCATTTCCTTCTCACCATTTCACTCAATTCATAAACACTTTGCCCTACTTTATCCCAAGAAGGATTAAAGGATGCTTCATTTTTTAAAGTAGTCCTTCTAGCTGTGGACTTTCAATTTCTTCTCTGAAAGTATTAACAAGATGTCATTTTAAAATTATTTCATCTCTAACACAAGGACTTTCTTATATTACCACACATTCTATTTTTTTAATCAAGAAAAGTGATTTGGAGAAATTCTTTTATTAAGCAACATATTTTATAAATTGATGGACTTTTCTACTGCATAAAATCATGGTTTTTAAAAATTGGAGGTGTTTATGTGAGTTTTCCCACTTTCATGAAGCTCTTCTTTTGATCTTACAGATTTTTTTCCATAGGCTTGCTCAGTCCATGGCTTCTGGTTTCAAGTAGCTCATACAAAATATTTGGGAGTATTCATGTGGAAATGGTGATTGTTTTCATGGTTATGTCCTTCTTTGTAGGATCCAAATCTAAAAAACAAATAATTGACCTATGAGAACTATTCAGAAAGGTATGTTCTTATGTAAAATTTCAACCATAATTTATCGTGGTTTTACTTAGCTATCATAAAACCAGAACTGATGTGATCAGTTTATAGAATAAGAGATGAAGAAATAAAAAGGGATTCATGTATATGGGAAGCAGACCAAAACATTAATCTCCAAGGTCTCTTTCCCTGGTGTGGGTCATTCTGAAAGCACAACTGTTTAGAAATTACTGGCTGACATCATTGCTGAAAGGTAAGTCTGGATTTTCTGTCTAGGCCCAGCCTAGTGAATGTCAGCACCCAGCTGACACCCACAGACTGAGTGAGCCTGCAGACCCATTCCAACACCAGGCCAGCACCCTACTGGCCTATCTTAAAAGCCAGTAGACTGAAAGACTAGTCTTCTAATTCTGCTATAAAGTTAAAGGACAAAAAATTAGAAAGAATTATAGCTATAATAATTTGTTAATGGATGCATGATATATAAACATGAGACTTGTGACATCGATAAAATAAAATGTGGGAAGCAAAGTTGCTATCATCTTAAAATAAAGTGATAAGGTGCTCTGTGGAAGCCCCCCATGGCAACAATGAGGAAAAAAATCTATAGTAGATAAACCACCAAGCTCCAAAGGAAAATAGCAAGAGGGGAAAAGTACAACAAACGAACTACAAAACAGTCAGAAAACAATGGTTTAAATGGAAGTCATGAGTTCTTACTTATGAATAATAACTTTAACTATGAATGGACCAAATTCTCCATTCACAGAATAGAGATTAGCTGAATGGATTAAGAAAAGAGAGAGAGAGAAAGAGAGAGCTGGTGGCATGGCTCAAGCAGTAGAGTGCTTGCATGGTGAGTGCAAGACCTTGAGTTCAAATCCTAGAATGTCAAAAGAGCCAACTATACTCTACCTAAAAACCTCACTTTGGCTCTAATGCCATACAGAGGCTGAATGTGAAAGGACACAGTAACTAAAAGAGAGCAGGGCTTATATCATATAAAACAGACTATAAATAATAAAAACTCTCACAAGACACAAAGAAAGTCACTATAGCTAGGCACCTAGCCAGGCACTAGTAGCTCACACTGTAACCCTAGCTACCTAGGAAACTGAGGTTGGGAGGATCATGGTTCAAGGCCATCTCAGACAAATAGTTCAACAGACTCTATCTCCAAAATAGCTAGAGCAAAATGGACTGGAGGTGTGACTCAAGCAGAAGACCACCTGCTTTGCAAGCATGAAGCCCTGAGTTGAAACTCAGTCCCACTTAAAAAAAAAGTCACTATATAATAATAAAGTGGCCAATTTATCAATAGAATGCAATATTAAATACATCTAACATCAGAGCACCAAAATATATTAAGCAAATATTAATAGAACAGAAGGGAGAAATAGGAAGGAGGGCATGAGCAGTAGAGGACTTCACTATCCTACTTTCAACAATGGATCTAGACAAAAAAATCAGTAAGGAAATAGTGGATTTGAACAACACTGTAGACAAAATGAACTCAGCAAATAGTTACAGAACATTCCATCTGAAAGCAACAGAATACACCCTTTTCAAGTACACTTGGGGACTGGAGAAGTGGCTAAGTGGTAGAGTGTCTACTTTGCAAAATCAAAGCCATGAGTTCAAACCACAGTTCCACACACACACAACACACACACCCCAAAAATCAAGTGCACTTGGGACATTCTCCATTCCCTAGAATAGATCCTATGTTAGGACTCAAAACAAGCCTTAAATTCAAGACTTCAGCATCTTTTCCAACTGCACGAATAGGAAACTAGAAATCAGTAACAGACAGAAAATTGAAAAATTCACAAATACATGGAAATTTAATGACGCACTCATGAATGAATGAGTCAAAGAAATCAAAACGAAAATTTAAAAATCTTAATATGCGTGAAAATGGAACTCAATATAACAAAACTTATAGGATAGAATGAAAGAAGTTCTAAGACAGAAGTTTATAACAATAAATGTCCTCATTAAAAAAAAGAAAGATTTCAAACAACCTAACTTTATGCCTCGAGCCTATAAAAAGCCAAAAGAAAGAGGAAAAAATAAAGATCAGAGCAAAAATAATAAGGATAGAAAAATAACAGAAAATATCAATGAAAGTAAAGAGTTGGATTTTTGGAAAGATTTTTTTTAAAGGCAAACTTCTAGCTAGACTTACTAAGAAAAATGAGAAGTCTCAAAATTAAAAATGAAAGAGACATTAAAACTGATAACACAGAAACAAAAAGGATTATAAGAGACTACTATGACCAATGATAAACCAACAGATTGGGTAACTGAGAAGAAATGGATTGATTCATAGGAACAAACAACCTACCAAGACTGAATTGTGAAGAAATATATAATCAGAAAGGTCCTTCCTAGGAGATCAATTCAGAAATCAACTCCCCTCCCAAAGAAAGCTCAAGACTTGACAGCTTCACTGGTGAATTAAGCAACATTTAAAGAAAAATTAATGTTGGCCCTTCTCAGACTCTTCAAAAAAAAATGGAGAAGAGGGAACACTTGCACATGCATTTTTACAAGGCCAGCATTACCCTAACACCAAAGTAGGGAACTTGACTAGACATTTCTTGAAAGAGGATATCCAAATAGCCAACAAGTATATGAAAAATGCTGTATATCACTAATCAGGAAAATGCAATTTCAAATCACAAGAACATATCACCTCACACCTGTTGGAATGGCTGTTATCAAAATGACAAAAAGATAACAAGTGTTGGGAAGGATGCAGAGAAAAAGGAAGTCTTGTTCACTGTTGTGGGAATGTAAAGCAATTATGTAAAGCAGTAGTGGAGGCTCCTCAAAAAATCAAAAACTACTATATTATCCATCAATCCTACTTCCAAAAGAAATGGAACCAATGTTGAAAAAATATCAGGATTCCCATATTCACTGTAGTATTATTCACAATAGCAAAGATATGGAATCTGTCGGTCAACAGATGAATGGGTAAGAAAATGTCACACACAATAGAAAAAGGAGGAAATCCTATCATTAGCAGCAGCATGGATGAACCTAGAGGAGATTATGCTAATTGAAATAATCCAATCACAGAAAGACAATTACTATGTGATCTCCCTTAAATGGAGAATGTAAAAAACATTGAACTCATACAGAAGTAGAAAGTAGAATGTATGGTACATTTGAAACTATTCAGAGAGTAGATCTTCAGTGTTCCCACCACAATTCTCAAATTAAGGCAAGCCTTCAATTTATGCCTTTGTCATTTTCATAATTAAACTGAGTGGAAAAGAAGAGCTAGCTCTGTTCACAGTTGGTTTGGCTCAATCTGCAGTTGTGGTTAGCTGAAAATATTTTATTTGGATTTCTGCATGCTTCTGGTATATAAAGAATAAAGAAGGAGAAGATCGAAGATGGTGACTAGAGGGAGGAAGCAGAAAGCGTGCTTCTGAAAGTAAACTCTTGGAGAGATGCTGGAGATACACCTGATGGGAAAAACCACCAAGAAGAGGCAAAACTCCGGCACCTCCACACCCCCAGCCTGCACATAGCCTCCCCACTCCACGTTAAACGGAGAAACCAGGAGGGCTACTGTGCCACCAGATGCCAGCTCCTGCCCTGCTTGGGAGAAGCAGGCCACCAGGTGAGCAAATAAGTGGCACGTGTTACTCCCTGGGACAAATCAGGATAGGCCCCTGGACAGACTGACCCCTGCCCAGGAAAAAAAAAACTGAATAATAAACAAGCAGCTGAAAAAAAAAGGCACATAACAAAGAGGGTGGGGCACCCTGAGCTCTGGAGAGGGGTGAGGGGCACTCGCTCACAGGAACTGTAAACAAACAAGCTGGCTGGAGAAGGCAGGAGTGGCACCACCTCCCCCAGTATGTTTGGAGAGGGGAAGGCTTCCAACAGCGGCTAAAGGAGCATGCTCCACTGGAGAGTAGGGGAGGGGCACCTCCCCACTCGAACTCTAAATAAAAAAGGACTGCAAGTACAACAGGTGGGTAGGGCTGTATACTGGAGAAAACAAAAGGGGCATGCATCCAGGAGAACTCTAAATAAACAAAGCCTTCAGGGCCAGGTGAGTGTAAAGCTCATTCCTGAGATCTACAATAAATAAAACCTGCAGCAGCAGCTGGCTGACAGTAGGTGACAGGTGAGCTGCAGCCTCAGATAAACATTCACAAAGCTGTCTCCAGACTACATTTTTTTCCTTTGATGAGACTGAAACTGTATTGCATTTGAACATGGGATTTTTTTTTCCCCCTTAATGAGACAACGACAGAACTACTACTCAGACACCAACACCAGGACAGGATGCTGAAGGACTGGCACCAAATCTATTAAGACTGAAACTTTATTGCATTTGAACTTGGGAAATTTTATTTACTTTATTTATTTTAATTTAATTTTATTTATTATTATATTATTGTTTTTAATCCTCTCTCTGTCTTTCTAATGCCTGTTTAGCTCACTGTCGATTAGTACACTATCTCTACCTGTTTATTTCTTTGGCTCTGTTTTTTGTTTTTTTTTTTCCCTTTTTCTTTACCTTCTTTGCTTTCCCTCTCTTCTCATCCTTCCATTCTAAATATCACCATTGTTACTATTACAAGCTAAAAAATACTTAATTGTACACAGTACAGGGACAGTAACAAAACCAAGGGCAATGATGGGAAGACAGAAAAAATAGGGAAACCAATTTCTCCACAGCAAAAAATTAATACAGGAACCAGAGGGAAATGAAGAAAACAGATACCCACATCCAGACTCAAACAAAACAAAGATAAACTATGCCGAAGAACCCAATGAAGCCCACAAGAACATCCCGAGAGAAGATATCCTGCAAGTAATCAATGAGAATTTTATAGAGATGATACTGGATAGGGTCAACCAAAATGTACAGGAGACATTCAAGAAATTCCAAGACAACAAAAAAGGAGAATTTGAGAAAGCACAAGAACAAATAAAAGAAATTATAGAAGCACT